ATTATACTGTCCAGCTTCCTGAAAAATTTATCCCCATGATCAACTGGACTGGCAAAAAATTGATTTTTGCCTAAACTTTAGTTGTTCTTAAAATATCTAAAATAAATTTGTAAAGAACCATTACAGTGTCTTTGCCACCAAGTTTTTTTTTTTCCTTGAAGATGTTTTACCGGCTCAGTTTTGCAATGCAAATTGCAAACTGAATCAAAGTAACACATTATACAGCTCTATTGTGTGTGTTTCTTCACTTTTTAGCAACTTGATACTGATGTTAATTTTCAACCCGCTGTTCATAGTCACCCTTGTTGGTGGTACATGTTGTAAACTTGTAGCTGATGCAAAATATTCAAAACCTATCAAAAGACAGATGAGCACGAGTGTCATTTTTACCAACAAATCTTGTCTTTGTGAAATGCATACAAGTTTTCAACATGTTCTCTCATTAAATGAGCAAACATGTTGCAAACTTGCTTGCACATAACTTAATTTTTTTTAAGTTTTAAAGTTGTATATACTTAAGGACAAATCTAGTAAACTGTGGCATTTTTTTTTTGCCTGACAACTTTCCATTTCTAAACTGTAAATAAAGTTTAATAATTTTTATATATAGTATTTTGCTTGTGGCTTTCTACTGAAATTTGCAGTTTACAACATAAGCTTTAAAAAATAAAAGAGCAAATACCAATATAAAGGAATATAGACATTCAAGAGGAGAATAAAGATACTAAATAACTAGTAATGTCTTGAAATTTAGTTAATAGAATGATTTTTATTTCCTTTATAAGTATTTAACTAATTCAATGTTTTAATACATATTTTAATAACATTTATAATAACTTGCTAAATGTTTAAAAAAAATAATAAATAACCAACTTGCTACAAAAACAGATTGATCGGTTTTGGGTATATTCTAAATACCATTATGTATATAAATACAGTGTTTACAAGCATTTATAAGTGTTAAAATAAAAGTTATCAGTTGTAAAATAGGGCATTTTTAAAAAAACCCAGATATATTTTGGGTTTTTTTGGGTTTTATTGGGTTTTTTTAAGGTGGGTTTTTTTGGGTTGGGTTTTTTTGGGTTGGATTTTTTTGCCAACCCTGATATAATGTTTACCAAATCATTCATTGATCACATGTTTGAAGTTTGCAACTTGTTTGGACAAAAAAAAGTGCTTTTCATTTCTAACGATGATAAAGCTATTGTGTTCTTGATGTAGCAAGCCTTCAAGTGCCGTTGTTGATGTATATGAAATACAAGGTCAAACTCATAAATCATGGCTTTGTTGTTGGCCCACAGCACAAATTGATTCCACCAGCGTACGGCATATGCGAAGTTAATAAAACTGGAAATGTATCTTACAGTGTCATAACCGTCATAGATAGGTATCCTGTTCATTGTCAGGCTGTACTAAGTGGGAAAGCATATGAACCGTTTTTTGTTTTTAATGTTTTGAAAAACTTATGCATTGGAAAGGACGGGGGGCTTGATTTTGTCATAAATAATACGCAGAGGAAGGAGGGGGGGGGCGCGGTAAGCATGCAAGTGCCTACAAGAGAAGAGAAGGTCTTAAATCAGTGGTTTTATTGCGTATGTACTTTATGGATACCCCCTTATTTGTATTATAAATATAAAAAACATTCTTATAATATCTTTATAACTTCAGTACTATCGCATTGAGATTGGAACATTATAAATCGCAGATCGGATAGCTTGTGAAAAATCTATTTTAATTCAGACTGCTGACCAGAAAGAGTATGGTGGTTGCAGCACTACTCGCTATCCCAAATCTCCACTTTATACGTACATCATTTGATCGAAATACAATCCTTCTATTCATCTAAGTTTAGATAAATATTTGATGTCAAAAAGAGACTATTTTCTTTGGTTTATTGCAAGAAACACGACTGGATTAAATGCAGCGTTAAAAAGAATACTGTTTTTTGTTTTGCGTGTCGACATCTTGCTGACATTTCAACTTTCAAATATGAGAGAAATGGAAAAAAGGCTTCCATAGATATATGTTCTTTAAAACTCAATGATGTCATGACACTTCCACGCGGTACAGGAGAAAGTAATTAGAACATATGTGTGCTCTCGATACCGAGAATTACTTGCAAACTTTATTTATGACAAAGTAGTTTATGTAGGATTAGATTGGAATAATTGAGTTACGAAGGTACTAATGTAAAGAGTGGGTGGTCTTAAGGTGTTTAAGCCAGGGCTTTAGGACGTATCCTTTATTTGACATAAATATATTATCGCGTTCTAAGATTATATTTTGTCTTGATTGCAATTTATGGCACAAAATAACTGAAGTTTTTAGACACCATACAGTGATTGTAAAGGAAGAGACAGCCAAAAAACTATCAATTAGGACAGATCCCTAATCACTGTTATCTAATGTAAACAGTGATATTTCTTTTTTATTTAACAAATAGTGCTTGTATACTCTGTGTGGTAAAAATAACATTTTTGAAAAGTACCTACAAAAGTATATTTTTAGGAGTGAAGTGGGACAAAGAAAATTAATTGATGTCCTACTTCTCCTCCATCACTTTTGTGTAACTATACTGTCCCACTTCTACTCCGTCACTTTGGTGTAACTATACTGTCCCGCTTCTCCTCCATCACTTTTTTGAAATTATACTGTCCCACTTCTCCTCCATCACTTTTTAATAATTATACTGTCCCACTTCTCCTCCATCACTTTTGTGTAATTATACTGTCCCACTTCTACTACGTCACTTTGGTGTAACTATACTGTCCCACTTCTCCTCCATCACTTTAGTGTAATTGTAATGTCCCACTTCTCCACCATCACTTTTTTTGTAAACTGTGTAAAGCTTAATAATATTTTTATGAAGATTACGTGGTTTGTACAAACTTGTACAAACATTGCAACCTAACCGCACTTTTACAAACATTGCAACCTTTACCCCAATGACACGGTTCTTCTAAAATCAAAAAATATATATACTTTACTATGACCTGCGCTCAATTTTAGGGGGATGAGCCCGAAATGGTGCTTTATCTGTTAAAACTTGTTTGTTTTAGCTCATACATTATATAAAAAGATACTAAAATTATTCTAGAAGTATTTTTTGAATATCCTATTTCTTCCTTCTCTTCACTACAATATCATAGCAACCATTATTTCTAGGCAGGAATTGTTTTTGGCTGCTCAAAAGCACATGCGATACAAAAAGGTGCTATTACTAGAAAGGGCAACGACAACTTGTTGATTATACTGGAACAGAACAGTTAATAAAATTATAATTCGTTACCAGGCATTACTTGTTGTTCTGGAAGCTGTAATGGGATCCAATAATCACGATTTATTATCAGAGGAAATCGGCAATTAAAAAAATTTATCTTATACTCACACATTTTTGAAAAAATGTTAACAAAAGCTAAAACATTATCTAAATTGATTCAAAAAGAAGACTTGATAATTTTGAGTGTCCAACAGTTTACTGTTGCTACCAAGAAATACCTCGAAGTCAAGAGATCTGAAACTGAGCGGGATGCGCTATTGAGGTAGGCAAAAGAATTAGCAACTGTCGGTATTGACTTAACTTTGATGCAATAACCGATTAACAATTATCTAGAATTGCTAGACCACAGAAAAATTCAACTTTTTTAAAATAATATTTATCAAATAGACAATTGGAAAAAAAGACGTATTAAGCGAGCCCATTAAGCGAGCCCATATTCAGCTTTTTAGATACATTTGTTGCAGAATTTGATAGGCGTTTTTTAATTTTTTTTTTGAAAAAAACGTTTATAAGTTTGTTTTTTTTTAAAGTTAAACTTTTTTACTTTTTTTAAAAAAAAAACTTAAAAAAGTTAAACTTTAAAAGAGCGGTTTGCGTTTAAATACTTATCCAAATTAAAAATTAAAAAATCATTGTTAAAACAATATTAAAACAGAGCACAGCTGAAGAGCATTTAACTTGTGCGGCCGTAGCACAGTGGTTTGAGTGCTTACTTTAAAAAGCGATCTCTAGACATCTGGACATTTAGCCCCATCAGTAAGGAAGGCGCTTTCTTGCCGATGGTAAGATTCCTCTAAAATATTATGGTTCTTCTTTCCTTACCAAAGTCACTGATCGGGCTAGAGCTGGCATTACCAATGTCGTTTATTAGGCTAGAGTCATGTTTAATATTATTTAAAAAGTTAAGAAGTACAAATATTTCCAAAATATAATCAAACATTCGCGCAGACTGCTAACATCAACAGCCAACGACAGTATATGTTTTTTAAAATTAAGCATTTATTTATATATTTTTTATTCTATACATTTTATTTGTTTTATTTATTAAGGAATATAGAAACAGTAAATTAATCTCTCCCCCCCCCCAACCCTTCGTGTTTTTGCAGCTAGAGAAAAAAAAGGATTGGAAATATAAAACTTCGCTTTCTCAACTCCCCTCCGTAAGTTATAAAGTAAGTTATAAAGTTATAGTTACAAAGTTATAGATAAATTACGTTTGTTGCGCCAAGGTAAATAATTATTTTATTCGAATTTTACAATAGAATGGTCTTGAAGAATTTTTTAAAAAATTTTACAATATAACAACTTCAACTAAGTGAAATAATTTCGCCTTTACTTAAAATGCTCTAATGTCGGAATACTTAAAAAATAAGGTATTTTTTATTATATATAGTCTTTTCTTTTTCTAAGTAAATGTATATACCAGGTGTAGTGCCTTTTTCTTAACAAAATTAATAAAAAGTTTTTTGAATCAATAATAATATCGCACTTGAAGTGTTACAAATGTTACAAGTAACACAAAGCCTTTTAATGTTGTTAACGATTAAAATAATTCAAATATTCCTAAAGGAATACTAAATAAAAAAAAAGATTTCCATTGAACCTAAATAGTTAAATATAAGTATAAAAATTTTGATTTACTTGCCTAAATTTTATTTACTCCCATTATTTATAGCTTTTTTTAATAATAAAAACATATAAATAATTCTGAAAAACCTACAAGGACTTCTGAACCAAACTTCAAAACCAAATTCAAAGGAGGCACTACTGATAATAAAATTGGTTTACTCGTCAAGCTTTCTAAAATCTTAAGAAAAAAATAACGCACTAAATAAATAACTAAATTTTCTAAACAATATTGCGAAGCCCAAAATAAAACTTTACCTCCCATTCACCACATTTATTGCTTTCTGTTAAATTTAAATTCGGATTGGCTTTTTTAAAACGCCCATACTTCTCTATTTTCCATATTTTTGCTGTCATTTTTTAATCGCAAAAAAATTTAATTAAAAATATTTAAAACGAACTTTTTTCATAACTTTAGAATTTTTAAAATAAAAAACTTTTTAGTTTTGATAGAATTCGAATAGTCATTAACCACACATAAAAAGATACGTGGGTATTTAAAATATTTTATATAATATATATCTAAAAATAACTTTTTTTTTCGAAAAGTAAAAAATTCAAAATGAGAATTTATAAAGAAAAAAAAGTTTTTAATAACTAGGGACGGCTAGTGGTAACGCTTTTAGCCTACATGTGGACACACTAGGGTTATGAATTTTTGACTTTTTTAAAAAAAAAATTAATTTCCTGTCATAAATTTTCCGATTAAATTAAGCTTTACCCGTTAAACAACAGAAAAGGTTGCAGCAACTCAGTTTACAAAAACTTAGCTTCCGTAAATAAAAGTAATGTTGCAGTTTATATTCCGTTCATATAAAAATTCAAACAAATTATTTCTAGCAAATAATATATATATATATATATATAAACGGTTTTATGTTTTTGAAAATATTTTTTGAAAACAAATTTTCTTTGATTTACATAAAAAATATTTTTCCGTGATTTACATTTCCCTTCAACACCAAATACACGAATAAATAATAAATTAGTAAAGTTATAAACACTTTCAAAAAAATTTACAACTTTGATAAACATATACAAGCACATATAATATAATAATATTTCATATCCCTATATACATTTGCAATATAGATATTCTTGAAAAATCTTTTAATAATATATATTGGTTGAATAATAAATATAAATATAAGTATATTGACATCCTAAATCCAATATAATAATATAGACATCCCAGCTCCATGTCAATCAGCTATTTACAAGTCAACAATCAAATAGGCAATCAAGCTGAAGGAAGAAATAATTGAAAAGTTGCATATGGAAAGTTGGTCCTTACACTTTGATGACAAGCACATCGACATAATGGATTATCAAGTGGTCGTCTTTAAAAATGAAAGAAGAGAAATCAAATTGGATGTCTTTGGCTTAGTAGATGGCAGGGCTTTAACTATTTCTCTAGGAATTTCTAAAGTCCTTGATGAATTTTACTTATGGAATTCAATACAGATGATTGTTGCAGATACCACCAGTGTTAACACTGGAAAAAAGAATGGCGATGTTGTAATATTGCAACGTATGTTCACAGAGAAACGCATCAACAAACCTCAGTTTATCAGTTGTCAATACCATGTATTTGATAGAGTCCTCCGTTTGGCGATAGATGAGAAACTTGGAAGTAAAACACAATTGCAACTGTAGAAGAAGTACGAATAACTAATCACAGTTTGATAACGGAACAGAAGTAATACTCGAAACATCAGGCTAGAGAGATATTATGAAATTTTTGTTTCATCTCACTCAAGTGTTCCGATTTTTTGTGGTAAAGGGTCATTTTCCATTGATCAGATTTCAGAAAATATCCAACATCAGCAATGCAAGGTGGAGCTATATTAGTGATCCTGGCCTCTATTTTAATTCTTTCCACAAAGACAGTTCTGCAGAGAGTTTATATCGATTTATATCGTTTTGCTGGGCAGACCATTGGTTTACAGACCAACTGTACAACAAAATCGACTTTAATAGCTTGGCTGAAACACTGAATCCATACAAAAAGGCTATTTGAAAAATCCATACAAAAAGCTATTTGAAAAATCACTGAAAGCGAGAGCCATTCATATTACAGATACCCATAAATAATCAATGCGCAGTGCGCGCAATCAAAGTAATGGAGGAAATTTATTCATCATGCAAAAATAAAAACAAATTGCACCTTTGATTCTTTCTGTGCAAACTCAACTGTCTGATTCATTGTTGGATTGAAAATTTATTGTATTACATGACTATGACATACTAAATACATTTGAATACATAGTAGTACTTATGTCAAAATCAATTTTTTCAATGGCGGGGTGAACTTTTTTGAAAAGATACGCAAATATTAGTTTATTTTGTGCTTTTAAGTTAAAAGTTCATTAAAATACAGTACAAGAGCATGGGGTTGATAAAAAGTCATAACCCTTAGATACACACAGATTGTAAATAAATAAATTTAAAAAAGTGTTGATTTCAACTTGTCTTGACCTCCTTCCTGCCCCTTGTCAACAAATTGTCACCCAATAACAAACAGGCCGTATCTCTGTATTTTGTAATTCAGAGTAATTCGAAGTTCAAATTTTAGGGCACAAATACTGACAGTTGATCTTTTTGTCAACTATTTGTATTTTCAAGTCATTTTTAATTAATAAATATATATTTAAATATAAATAAAAATACAAATACATAATTTGTAAATTAAGTCTTATTTTCATAAGAAGTAATAAAAATTTGTTTGAAAAGGTGGTTTTAAAAACAGTGGAAATAAAAACGTTCCCAACTGAAACTGATTGACCATCAATTTTAAAGTCCTCCTTGTATGCAACTGCATGCTTTCAGTAAACCTCTTTCCTTTTTTCCTCTGCGTACGTACGGATTAATTATTACATAATCAACCCTTCCCCATTGCATAACTATTTAAAGATATTTAAAAAAAACTTTTAGTTATTTTGTCATATTTATCTAATTTATTTATTCTTTTTATCTCCCAAGTTACAGAGAGAAAAAAATGTACGAAACTAGTAGTTTATATAATTAGTCTAAAGTCAAATTTAAATTTTTTTTGAAACACTTTCCATCAAGTTTTTAAATATGATTCTTCGTTCTTTTACATTCCAGAATTCAAAAGACTAGTTTAAAGCTGCCGCTATGTTATTTTCTACGTCAGCGTTATAACACTTGGTAATGATTTTTTTACCCTCTATCAAACACTGGACAAAGTAGCTATACCTTGTGCATGGTCTTGATTATCCAAGGAATCCAAGATGTTTTAGTGTATCATTGAGATTTACGGAAGAACCGTTAATTTGAATTTCGTTTTTTGTAACTGAACTTTTACCAAAGATTATGAACTCGGTTTTTTCAGTTTTTAGTTTATTGCAAAGGTTTTTAAATTGTGTCTGAACTTTATAAACTTATATGCCACTTACTATTGTTCGAATCTGAAATAATTTGACTTAGGGGAAAGTTGGGTAGTCCCGGACGGCAGGTAATTCCGGACACTTGATGTACAGCTTAAACTAAAGAAGCTATGCAGTTTGAAATGCTATAAAAACATTATTTGAATGAAAATATGGCATATGCAAAATATCTATCATAATATGCCGAAGCGATTGGCTGGGAGTGCAAGATATTGTTTCTCACCTCCAGATGAGCAATGTATCATAATACTTGACAAGAGATCGTAAAACCGCGTACGTATTCGCTATCTTGTACTAATTTGTACTAATACATTTTTAGAAAACCTCTCTCTCCCATACAAATACGTTTTGAAAACCTCCCCTCTCCCGATCTAATAAGTTTTTGAGAAAATCTCTCCTCCCCCATACCTGCGTGTCTTTTTTATGGAATAACCCAATGTCCATATCAAATGGAAATGTTTTGTAAAATATTGCTGCGATAAAAGCCTGCGAAGAAAAAACCCAAAACGTTTGCCCTTCTGCCTAAATGTTAGGGCAGTGAGTTAGTAAAATTTTCTACTTCACTACCTTTTAATAAACTTAAGTTTATTGACAAATTTTTTTCATTTCAATCAAAAGTCTAGTAACGGTTCAAAGTTACGGCCGTGCAGGTTTTCCAATTATACTTCCCCTAAAAACAATCAACTTTTTTTGTTTAAGTTATGCGAAACATTTTTCACTAGAATAAAATTATAATAGCTGTAATTACCATAGTTATAACTTTCATGACAATTTTTAAAAACTACGTAGTTAAAAAACCAGATAAAATAATAGTGATTTGCATGCATTTCTAGAAATAAAGAAGAATGTTTAAAGAAAAAATTAAAGCGTTGGTGAATTTCTGTGGTCTTATCGAATTTATGTAGTCTTAGACGTGTTTTAGACGTCTAAAAAACGTTGTAATACGTTTTAATACAGGGTTGTTAGAACTATTTACATGTTAAATGTCAAAATATGGTTGTAAAATGACAAAATAATCTTATTCTTTCCTGAAAAATGAAAGACTGTTTGACATTTGGAAAAAAAGAATATCTATCAATTTTCAAATTATTATATTTATTTAACAATATCTATTTAGGGCTAAATTTAAATAATAATAATAATAATAATAATAATAATAATAATAATAATAATAAGTGTTTTTACTAATTTATTGCTGCTCTTGTTCTCTCAGAACATTGAGCACTCTATTTGTAGAATTAAATCCGTGGCTAGCATACCCCACACACCTAGTTATGAAGGAAGGGAGGGAGGCCTAGCAAATTTAGGGAGTCCATTTGCAAATTTAGGGTTCCTTTTTTTTAGTAATTTCTAGTGGAAAACTATATATATATATATATCAATATAAAGTTAAAACTTATCTTATGTGAATGCTTTCTACAATTTCTCTAGTTATCTCCTTAAACATAATATATTAGAGTACATAATGTTAAGAAAGTGCAATGATATCTTTTTTTTATGGTTACATCAACGTGAAAAAAAAAATGAAACATTTTAAAGCTATTTTTTGACTTTTTTGCAATTATTTACAACCTTTACAAATTTTAGTCTAAACTTTTTGAAATAATAATGCCACCTAATTCCACGAGCCTCAATTCATACAAAACAATTCCAAAATAGCATTCTATAAGGCCATCTGGCACCCCTGACATCCCAATAACCTCTCATGGGGTGTACATTTAGTTGCTGTTGAAAGTAGCGAACAGAGTGAGTGGAGAGCATCTGATAGAACAATTTCCCAATTTCTAACATCTATCTTGTGGGTTTTTAGTGCCAAACAAATATTTTTCCAGATCAAGCCATTATATCTCTCAACTTGTCCATTACTAATAGAATGATATGGGGTAGAATTACTTGCTGCAATTCTTTTCTGAGTAAGGTAAGATTTTAATTCATTACATATGAAAGATGAGCCTCTGTCAGAATGAATGTACGTTGGAAAACCACAAAAGAAGAATATTTGTTCTAAACATTTCACAACAGTTGTTGAACTAATATCAGGACATTGAAAAGCAAATGGATACCGAGAATATTTATCAATGACTGTAAACAGATATTTATTTCTAGAATTAGATAGAAATGGTCCTTTAAAATCTATACTTAGGCGATCCATTGGACGTATTGACTTGATTAACTCGCAGATATTTGCGGATTGATAAAACATTGGTTTTAAATCTGAACAAATCTGGCAATTAGAACAAACTCTCTTGACCTCTTCTGTAGAAAAAGGCAAATTTTTAGATTTAACAAAGTGAAGCATACGAGTAACCCCTGGATGAAATAGACAGTTTTATATATCACTTAGGTTTGTTTGAGATTGGGTTGTAGCAAAAAAAACACGTGTGAGTGCATCAGGGACGATGTTATCATTTCCAGAACAATACGATATAGTTTAACTAAACTCTGCTAACTCCATCCTCCAGTACTGTATCTTACTATTTTTAATCTTTGTTTTCTTTTGGTTATCAAGCATAAAAGCTACAGAACGCTGATCAGTATTTAATTTAAATTAATTCCGTAACAGTAAATGTCGCCATTTTCAAATGGCTTCAAAAATAGCGACAGCTTTTTTTTCTACTGATAGGTAATTGATTTCACTTTTGCTTAATGTTCGAGACATGAAGGCAACTGGACAACCATTTTGATTCAAGGTAGATGATACGGCTACATCTGATGCATCACATTCAACAATAAAAGGTAAGCTCTCATTGATAGAACTCAAAGTGGCAGGGTGAAGTTCTCTTTTAAGAAATTAAAATGCTTCAATGCCTCGCTATTGATTTGAAGGGATTTAACATTAATTAAACGCCGAACTTTATTAGCAAACGAAGGTATCCACTTTGAATAGTAAGAAAACATACCTAAAGTTTGTCGAAGTGATAAAATGTGGTGTAACTTTTCTTCTTCAACAAACTTGTCCATTGACCTTTGGAACATAAACACACCATTAGTAACTCCAAATGGAATCCTTCAAAATTGAAATAGTTTCCCAATTGCCTCAAAATGCTCTATACCTTTTGTCTGAATTTTTAAAAGGGATTTGGTGGTAAGTACTTTTCAAGTAAAATGTAGAGAATACTTTGTACTTTGCAAGTCTATTTATCATATCATCTATTCTGGGAAGAGGATATGCACCTAATTCAGTGAAAAGGTTAAGTGTTTGAGAGTAATCAATCCAAAGTCTTTTTTTGTTAGATTTAGTAAGATCCTTTACGACCACTACCTGGGCTCTCCATGGTAAGAAACATGGCTCAATTATACCATCCGATAATAACTGTAATATTTCACTTTCAATAAAGTTTCGATCATCATTATTATATCTTCTTGATTTTATAGCTATTGACTGAGTTTTGTCTGAAATGCTTGTAAACAAGGAAGGAATTTTTATTTTTGCTATTTGCAGTGCACATAGGTTATTTTCCTTTGTGACAATTAAGTCTTCTTTTTCTCCACCGAGTGAGAATATCAAATTTTTGTGTGGTTTTTGGAAGTCGCAACTATTCTCTAAATTTAAAGTAGAAATAAAGATATTATTTCTACTTTAAATTTAGTGAAATTTAAAACTTTGAATTTTACTCTTCAAATTTAAAACGGAAAGAAGTTTTCTTCTATTACTTTGATGCATCTTGGCATTAGCTTCTTATTTTCAAATTGCTTTTCATAATCGGACATAACTTAAGTTTTTTGATTTTTTTTTTTTTTTTTTTAAATAAAAGATTCTATTTAACAAAAAACACTTTTATAAAAAAATATTATTATAATAAAGTTAAAAAATTTCTTTCGAACTTTCAAGCAACTGTGGAAGAAATCTAAACAAAAAAATCCGTCCTTAATAAAAAATATGGTTAATTGTCAAAATCAGAACCTTTTTATATCGATTTTTTTAAATAACGATTAAAAAAATCGATATAAAAAGTTCTGGTTAAAAATACTTTTTCATTGTTTCAATCACCGTGCATTGTGGGCAATACAAAAGAATGATTTTCTCTCTCTCTCTCTTCTCCTCCCTCCCTCTCCTCAAATAAGAATTTGAGAGGTTTACCCCTTTTTGTTTGGCTCAGTAAAATGAAGCTTTTAAATATTTAAAAACAGTTTCATTTTCGTGTTGTAATTCTTTTTTTGAATTTTTTCTTACTAATTTATTAAAGAATGAAATTCGAAAGCCTTTTGTATAATAAGATTTATCATCTTAATATCTTTTTCTGTTATTTCTTATCTGCTATGTGTTTTTTATTATTTGCTATCTTTTGGGTGTTGACTAATTTATGGGTGATTAAAATTTTTTAAATGTTGTTTTTTTTCAGAGTTTTGAAAGTATGATTTCAAAAAATGAAAAATTGAAGTTTTCATTATTTTTATAAAATTTCTTAACATACTTTTTAAAGCGCTATTTATAGTTTAATGGTTACACTCCTTTATATAAATTGCAATTAATAGACGGCAATTTTTTATTCATTGCATTTTTTATTGATAAGTTTCATTTAAAACGATTTGTATGCGATGAGGTAAAAATGGTAACAATTTGTAAACAAAGAGTTACCTCAAAAGGTACCTCAAGGGATATACTTTGAAATTTTCTGCAAGGGGTCGTCCATAAAGTACGTACGCTTTTTTTTTCGTCCCCTCCCTCCCCCCCCCCCCTACACCTTTTTAACCTATTTATCTAACATTTTATGATATTTTTTAATATAGTGTCTCTTTTCTTTTATAATCGACCCACTGCCCTCCCATCTCACATACGCCATTTGCAGACCCCCTCTTTCCCTCCGAGCGTACCCTAACAACCATGTAAAAAATGTAACCACTAAGCGGTTCGAAACGAGCTCTGGAAATATTTTCGCGTTACGGTAAGGAAAGTTGCTCTGTGACATGTCCATTAGATCTTCTTCGGACGCCTAATTAACAAAAAAAAAAAAAAAAAAAAACTAACATCATTTTCGAATTTGCATTAAATAATTTAAAAACAACCGTTATTTTTTTTATCGTTTTTTAATCTTTTTTCAAACTTTTCCAAATTTCTTTTTACGAAAAATGTTTTAAAAACTTCACATTTCGTAAAATATAAAAAATGACCCTATTATTCTTTTTTTGAATAGTAGGGTCATTTTTTTGTTGAAGTTTTTTATCGAAGACTTTTTGTTAATTTATTTTTAAAAATAGCCACAGCAATTCAAAACATCCATTTCTAATATGATTATCTTTTAATCACCTTGCCGACCGTAGATAAACTTAGTAACTTTCATTTTATAGTATCGTGTGCAAACATTTTTGGATGATTTTCAGTCGAAGGTTTTTTATTTGCACTATTAATTATTCACGTCTTTTAGTTATGTTATGCTACTTTATGTATTATTTAACGTTTTAAGTCATATATAGTAGCTATGCAACTTTAACTTATGTAATTTATTTTTACTCAGAAAATGTTTGCTGAATACTTGTAAAACATAATACAAAGCAAAACGCTTGATTTGACCATGCTTAATTGTACATCTGTGTTTTATCTCTTAACAATTTAATAAGAACTTTAGTATAATACGGACGAATGAAAAAGCTAATTTTTATTTTTCATCATAAATAAAAAATATCTATTTCATTATAATGGAAGATTTAGATTCTGAAAACTCGATTGAAAAACGAAGTTTTTTTCATTCGTTTCCTGATCTCGAAAAACAAACAGTTGAAATACGCAATGGAACTCAAAGTACAAGTGATTTCAATGCTGCATATAACCAAAAAGCAGCTAGTCTTGAACAAGTCAGATCTGATCAATTGGTATGCAAATGGTATTTCTTATAACAGATATGTAATGCAGAAAGCCTGGTGTTCTTAATTAGGAATTATTTTAAACCAGTAAATATGAAATTTATATGCTAAACATGAATAGATGAACACATAATTGGCTGTTTTAATTGTTTTAACACAAATGTTTTTATTTATTTAATCAGAAACTTATTCAAAGTCATTATTTTTTATGTCTCTAGGTTTTTAATCTCTTTTCACAGAAAAAAACAAACATATTTTGCTTGTTAAAAATTACACTTTTTTTCAAAACAATATTTATAACAAAATTACTTAAAAAAAAAAAATTACTGTTTAGATTAAGTTGCAGACACTTCCCATTTACCTAGATATTTAAAACATATAATATATATTTTGATTCAAAAAGCATTTATAAATTTAAAAATTGATTTTACAAAATCATTGTCTTCATGAATTTGTAAAATTAATAATCTGTCAATAATTTTTCAAATTCAGAAAAAAAAATCATATTCAGAAAAAAAAAGAGAAAAGTTGCTTATGCAGTCTTCAGCAGATGGCTGTTCAAAGGTATTAAATATTTTCACAGCTTTTATTATTTTAGAAGGAATTTTAAATATGGTTCCTTCTTCTGAATGCCTCTTTTTTCAGGAAATTTCTTGCTTTTTTAGCAGTATGATCTGTTAAGGCAATATAATGTTATATTCTCATTAACTTTTCTTAGTAGCAGGATACAGTCTACAAGAAATTTACAACAGACAATATTCAAAAAAATTTAAAGATTTTTTTACAATTTTTTATGAGAAAGAAAATGTCTGCTTCTTAAATCCCTAAATTTTTATAATTTAAGATTATGCCACATCTGCATTTTTCAACTTAATAAGGCCAATAATCAAAAACAGTACTTAAAAACAAGTATGGGTGTTTCTTAATTTGAGATTAAATTTATTAATTTTAATGGAAACTTTTAACATACAACAGTTGTATCTTTATATTACTTTGAAATGTATTTAATGGTTGCTTTAGTTTAAAACAGCTTAACTTTGAAATATATTAAATGGAAACTTTTAACATTCAACAGTTGTAATTTTATATTACTTTGTTTAGATTAGAGGTGAATTTTGTTCTCCAGAGTCCCAGTCAAAAGGTTCTGATTTTAATGAAAGTAGTAGTAATAAAAAATCTGGAGTTCGCTTGAGCTGGAAAAACCTATCAGTTGCTACAAAACCAAAAAGTTTATCTTTATTTAAGACTATTTGTCGAAAATCAAAGACATTAAATGAAGGAAAAGTTCTTCTCAGATCTTGTAAGTAATTATTATTGAATTTAAACTTTTTATTTATATTGTATAAATGTTATTTTTAGAAAAACCCTGATTTATGTATAAATACAAGAGTTCTTTTTTTTATTATACCTTTTTTTACATCCTGATTTTTATTTTGATAATATATAATTGTTCTTTCAGTAAATGGAGCTGCTGAACCTGCAAGTCTGCTTGCTATTATGGGTGCTAGGTATTTAATTTTATCAGATTTGATGTTCATTTGTGTGAAATTTATTTTTACTTTAAAAAGTTGAGATTAAGTTTGTCTTTATCTAACTTAATCTAATACTGTTGGGTATTTGTGTATGGAATATTACCATTTGAAGAATATTGCCTTTTATAGGAATATTACCATTTTACTGTAGTATATTACTTTTTCTAGAATATTACCTTTTTACTATAAGATATTATCTTTTTATAGAATATTACCTTTTTTACTATAGGGTATTAATTTATTTAGAATATTACCTTTTTACTATAGGATATTAATTTTTAAAGTGTAGCTGTTCAAAATTTAACTATTGATATATTCTATAGATTAATATCCTAATGAAATATTACCTAATAAATCTCTAAAAAATTACCCATTTGTTTTAGTGGTGCTGGTAAAACAACCCTTTTAAATGTTCTTTCTGGTCAAAATGTTAAAGGTTTGGATATAAGTGGTGATATATTAGTCAACAATGAAAGAGTACAAAATAAAATTAAGAATATATCTGCTTATGTACAACAAGAAGAATTATTTATTGGAACTCTGACTGTCAGAGAGCACCTTCTCTTTCAGGTTTTATTTTTTTAAATTTTGTTTAAATTTAAGAGAAATATTTTATTTTATAAACTTAACTAATAATTTTGCTGTTTTAGTTTATAATTAAACATTGACCAAAATTAAGTAAGTTTATAATTAACTATCCAAATAATTTTAATGTTTTAACTTTAGATTGATATAGTTTTATCAAAAATTAGATGTATTTTAATTTCAAATTTTTTAAGATTAACATCTTTAAATTATTATTTAAAGATGTTATTCTTAATGTATTTAAGTATGTATTCTGTTTTTGGACTAAACATCCAAATTTTTTGTTGAGTTATTGCAGGAGAGTACTACATTTTTATTATTTATTATTGCAATATTTTTGTGCAAGACACATTCTATAATACATCACTGTTCATTACTCTTGCACCTGTTGGTTAATAAAGTTCTTTAGTTTATCAATTAAAATTTTCTCTTATTTTTGCTCAAAATATATTTTCAAAAGTTGCAAGTAATAAAATCATTTTTCCATAGTTATTAAATATAAATTTTATTTTTTCTATGTAAAAATTAACCAATGTTACAATTCAGTATTTATTATTTAGGCATATCTAAGAATGCCAGAGTCATTTTCAGTTAAAGAAAAAGAGAAAAAAGTTGATAATGTTATAGCTCAGGTGAGTGTTAAAATACAATAAAAAATACCATAATAATTTTTTTAATTTAATCACAAATCTGTTTACCATCAAGAATTTTTTTTTTTTTGAGATCTTTAATTAACACTTTAAAATATATACATATATATTTTTTCTTTTGAAAAAAAACCTTTTTTTTTTTTTTTTAATAATAATTCAGGCATCTACTTTTAGAACTAATGTTAAAATTTTTTATTAAATTTACATATAAAAAATTCTACAGATAAAAACGTGCTTATTTTTACTTTGCATTTAACTTTTTTTTATATAGCTTGGTTTAACCAAATGTCAAAACACAATTATTGGTGTTCCAGGACGGATTCGGGGAATATCTGGTGGAGAAAATAAAAGACTTTCCTTTGCATCTGAGGTTATTCCTATTTTTAGTTTTTTTTAATCTTTAATCATTTAAAGCTATAGAGGATAATAAGCAGTCTTAAGTAATCTGTTCGTAAACCTAAAATACAAAAAAAACAGCATAATATACAAGAATACTCGCTCAGAATTGCTAATTATTAGCCAATAGATTTGGGTGAAACTTTAGGATGGGTCAAATAATGCATAGTTTAAAGTTAGGAAATACACAAAAGTTAGAAAAAGCATACACAAACAGTTGCTCCATAATTTACTGATTCAGATTTAGGAAAGTATTAACTTTTATTGATTGAAATATGTATAACCAGTAAATCATATTGCATAAAACAAATAAATAAAAATATTTTTATATTTTTGTTTGCATAACAAAATAAGAAAAAACTTTTTGGCTTAAAGATTTTTTGCTGTTAAAAGCATGAAAATATCAAGTTTTGCAGAAACATCAGCAGTGGGTTTTTAAAAAATATAGCTTACTAACTAGATATCTGAACTTAACTACAAGTAAAGTGAAGTTACTTGTAATTACTTTTAGTTACATATGTAACTACAAGTCCAGCTATATATATATATTTAGAGACCTACTGCTGATTTTTTGGTAAAACTTGATATTTTCATATTTTGATTACCTAGCCAAAATATTTTTGTATACTCAACTTCTCACCTTTTTTTATTTTAAATATAAAAAAAAAATTTGTAGTGAAAAAAAAATAAATAATGTTTTTCAAAAATTTAGAACAATTAAATAAAACCTTACCTGGTTCTGTAAGGCAGTAGATAGATGTAACCAAGAAATTAGTATCCAAGATGCATGTTTAATAGCAAATGTAATATTGAAAGATTTAAATCTCCTACCAGCAGAAATTATTGCTTTATAAAAAGCTTCATAAAAAGAAACGTTTAAAGAAAAAAATTCGAAAACAGTCCACTGAATTCGAAGTAGTTTGTATTGTGTTTGGTGGCAAACAAGGTATAAATTATGTATAGAAATACTAAGTAAGAGCACTATGTCAGTTTATTTTTTTTCCAGAAATTAGTAAAACAAGTGATATTGTTAAAGAGATTGTGTCAAACATCAATAACATTTGTTAATATTTCCAATGAACCAATAGGTTCATTGGAAATTTTAACAACAGCTGTGTTATGGTACAGTGAACAACACAGGTCAATAAAATGGATTATTATGAAAGTTAGAAAAGGGGGTTAGAAGACCAGCATAGTAGCTGGTTTGCTTGCTTGCAAATGAGTTACATTTTCGAAAGTACTTTGTTGTGCTGGAGGATGGAAAATCAACAGGTTCTTCTACATATACAGGTAACATCATTACTGAATTAAATTTTGAAAAGATCTATTTATTGCGAACTTAAATAATACCTTTAGAAAAGTTTTTTGATGTAAGTGATAATGTGATGAAAGAATCAAGCACTGATTAGATCTTCTAAAAACCTAATTAGCAGTTAAATAGGGCAGTACTGCTAGTAATCATTTATCTTTTATGTTGAATGCTATCCCAGAAAATCTCAATCAAATAAAGAAAGACTTTTAAATTGTTGAGCCAGTGTTGCAAAATAAGAGTTATTCCTCTTGTGCAGAAAACATTATTTTTTATAGAGTAACCGATAAAGATTTGTCAGTTTAATTGATAATTAGGCTCAATCAGTTGAAAACAGCATCTGTGTGTTTAATAAGTCAACCATCAAACTTGATTATGCAGCTACATAATAAATATATAGATGTTTGACTGGTCAACTACTCTTATTCAAAATTGGAAGACCCTATATATATTTAAAGACCTAATATATATATATATATATATATATATATATATATATATATATATATATATATATATATATATATATATATATATATATATTAGGTCTTTAAATATATATAGGGTCTTCTAATTTTGAATAAGAGTTATGAAAAAGAAAAAAGAAAATGTTTATATGTTATGTCTTATACAAATCTCTCATGGTTGCTCGTATGTACAGAGTTTAAAGTTTTCCATTTTTTATCAACCTGAACTGTGATACTGACTCTACTGTGGTACTGACTCTACTGTGGTGCAGACTCTACTGTGGTTATTATGTGATGGTTACTCTTAAATAACTTTAAATGTTGAGTACTTTTATCAAAAATTTGTTTCAAATTTTATTATTTTATTTTCAGATAATTACTGATCCTAAACTTCTCTTTGTTGATGAACCAACATCAGGACTGGATTCTTTTATGGCAGAAAATGTTATAATTTGTTTGCAAAAGATTGCTAGCGAAGGAACAACTGTTATTGCTACCATACATCAACCATCATCAGAAGTGTTTCTTCTATTTGATAGGTAACTTGCTTAATTAAATACCTTCTCAATAAACCAACAGTTAAATATTGATTGAAGTGTATTGTTTGAAGACGTCCTAGAGATGTTTTTTGCAGATGTCCTAGAGATGTCTTTTCAGCTGTCCTATGGTCGTCTCTGACTGGTCTCATGTAAAAGACTTAAGGACGTCTGAATAAGACGTCCTAGAGACGTCATAATTTTACCTAGACATTCTTTTAAAAGTTATATAAAAGTGCAATAACATACAATACACACCTTAGATATGATTTAATCTAGACAAGGGAAGGTATAAAAAGAAATCAAAGTAAATAAAGTGTAATTTGATGTATTTTAAAAAAATTGTTAGTTTTATAAATAATTAAAAAAAATTTCAAACAAAGTTACACTTTCCAAATTAAAAGCTAATATATTCTGTAGAGTATAATCGATAGTGTATTATAAATAGAAGAAAATTGCTGAAAAATGCAAAATAAATAAAAAATACAACAGTTGGTTGTAGTTAGTTAAACCATCATTAATCGATATCGATATTAATGGATGTTCTCTTTGATCGGTCAGAAGAATGCCTAATCACTCTCCCAATAAGTTGCATGGCATCCATTTTAGTTAAGCTTTTATTTAACTTTAAAGCAGCTTCTAATAAAAACAACAACACATAGTTCAATAGGATCATAAAATATACTTAAATACATGTCATGTTGCATCCCCAAAGAAATTAAAAAAAAATTTTTTTTTTTTATTTTCTTTATTAAAACATCATTTTTAATTTTAAAAATTAAACAAACAATAATAAGCTAATGATAATACCAGTGATAGCGTTGCATAGACTCTTTCAACTTTTTTTTCTTCCTTAGACCATTCATGCTATATTCTGACAAAATAGTGTCTTTTGTCAGTCTACATATATAAAAAAGATGATAAATGCCATACTGTCTAACATAAATGTTAAATTCAAACTTTTTTTTGAATTATAAAAAATTATAATATTTATTATTATTAGCAAAACATTTTTAATTGGATCACCTGGATTTTTACTGCCAAATGATGATAACTGTTTTACCCAAAAAGAAACAATGCAATAAACATTAAAAATGTTAATGACAAACTTTAAAATATTCTAATAATATATAACATTTTTAAAATATTATAATATACAACATTTTTAAAAACTTTCTAATAATATATAACATATAAGGGATCATCCATAAATTACTGAATGCTATATTTTTTAAAAAAAAGGAAATTTTATTTTATATGATATGAGGATCTGCGAGGGAAAACTTATAATCTTTTTTGTTTTGTTTATTGGTGAAATTTAGCGTTGTGTAATTTATGAACAATCCCTAAACTGTAAAGATTAAATTCATGCATACAAAATTAATGTATTGGATATCTCAATTTGCAATTTTTTTCAAAACATTAAGTTCA